TGGGTGCTGCTTGCTGTTCTGGGAAAGCCCCTCCCCCACTCCACCGCACACCTAGAGGATGTGCTGCACAAGGTTTCCCTAGGTGAGGGGGCTGTGGCGCCAGAGTCCTTTCCTGAAGCCCCAGGCCGAGCCAGATGTCCCCTGCAGAGGTGCCTCCGAAGCTGTGACTCTCTATAATAGAGTCATTGTCTCTGAGCCGGCCACTCCACAGACCAGGGCCGTGCGTAGCCATGCTGCTTCCTTCCCGCAGTGGAGCTCCAGTGCCCCCACACAGCAGTGCCCAAGACTCGCTTGTTGACCTGAATTGAATGTCCAGCCACCAATGGCGACGTGAGCCCACGTGGCCCAGGCGCCTGGCGTGCTGGAGATGGTTCCGAGAGCTTAGAGCAGACAAAGGTCCAATCTGGCTGCACTCAAGGCCTCGTGAGAGCTTGCTTTGGAGGACGGCCTATGAATGGAAAGAGCTTTTGACAGAGGAGCTGGACAGGGGCATTTCTGATGGGGAAACGCCACCCGCTGAACAAGGGGAAGAACCGGTCCTTTGCCAGGCAGGCGTCTGGGGCAGATGCAGGCCCATGCAGCGGGCTCTTCCTCCTGGTGCAAGTGTCTCCTCCCCAGCCTGCCAGGCGCTGGGGCTCCGTGGCACCCCAAACACTCTGGCTTCAGAACTGCTCCAGGCAAATGCGTGGCATCATTCATAAGGAGGCAGCGTCTTGCAGTGCTGAGACCGAGCCCCTGGCTGCTTCCAGATGTCACTTCCAATGCCAGCCCTTCCACATGATAACTCTGTCACCAGGAGCGCTCGGGCACCTCCACCCTACTTGGCCTCTAAAGCACGCCTGCCCCGCCCGCCTGGATCTGCTGTCAATAGCTGTCGGGTGTGCGGTGTGCAATTTGGGACCTAGGAAGCATTGATACATGGTCGTTACTCTTTATGATCATTAGAAATATTGACTTCAAGGGCAACTTCTGACAAACTCAGGAGCATCTCATTTGAAAGACAAATAAGCTGCTAGCATCTCCAATGCTTCAGTTCTCTGCGGCGGCAGCAGGAGGCGGGAAACATGCTGAGCAGAAGGAACAGGCCACTGAGAACCACTGCGGATGTCAGCAGCCGAGCATCCCGCCTTGTGCCTGAGACCATTTTCTTCCAGCAGGAATGGACGCTGTCTCCCATTATCTTATTGTTCTTTGGTTTTCTGGAAAACAGACACCAAAGGAAACTTGAGGAGGATCTCTCCTTGGGGCGAGTCACTCAGGCTTCAGGAAGTTGTGGATGTTGGCAGTGGTTTTTCAACAGAGCGCTCGGGGCGGTGCCCAGGAAGAGCGGGGCAGAGGGACGGGTGGGTGGGAGCGCAGGGCCCGGTGCCCAGAAGCGCTGGCTGGCGGCTGGCATCTGGGCCATCCCTGGTTTTGTAGAGTTCCAACCCTATTAAGCCCGATTGGAAGGCAGTTAGTAAAATGAAGTGTTGCGAATTATCGCGCGAACGTGGGACGTGTTGATAGCCAATTGAGATGATTTAAATCCTTAAGGAAAATTGTGGTCCCTAATTACATTGAATCACTTTCTGTTCAGGCCCAGCAAATAATTCTCAACTTTTTCCCTCCTTTGCTTACATGAAGTGCAATAGTAACAACTTACAAAGCAGGCAGAATTTAAAACAGAGGTGTTTTCTGTCTTTATTTTTAGCAATGTGTGTGGAAAAGGTTAGATTCTGCAAAGTGGCAAAAGGCTGAAAGCTGTTCTTTGGGGATGGCATTTCCAGTCCTGGGAAGCATGCAGAGAGGGGTGGGACCGCAGCCCCAGCTGCTCCAGGACAAGGGCAGCTCGGGAAGATGGCGTGGGCACGTTGCCCTAACTCACGGAGGGAAGGACGGTGAGGTGGGGTGAGGACTGCACCACAGCCGCCTCCCGCTGAAGAGGGAGGAAGAGCATCTCTTACTTTTTCTTTTTTTTAAAAAAATTAATTAATTATTCTTTTCTTTTTAGAGACGGGGTCTCGCTATGTTGCCCAGGCTGGAGTGCAGTGGCTATTCACAGGCACGATCCCACTACTGATCAGCACGGGAGTTTTGACCTGCTCCGTTTCCGACCTGGGCTGGTTCACCCCTTCTTAGGCAACCTGGTGGTCCCCTGCTCCCGGGAGGTCCCCATATTGATGGCGAACTTAGTGCAGATTGGCATAGCGCACTGCAGCCCAGAACTCCTGGGCTCAAGCGATCCTCCAGCCTCAGCCTCCCGAATAGCTGGGACCACAGGCACGCGCCACCACGTCCGGCCATCTCTTACTTTTCCTTAGAGGGGAGTCCACGCCCAAACCGCCAACGCTTTGGCTGCTGTTCGTTGTTGTTGCTGCTACTTGCATTCTCTGGGTTAAAATGAAGCACAAGTTCCGAACCATGAAAGGTTAGCAAGAAAGCGGGAAGCGTCCCCACAAAGCAAGAGAGAAGCGTCCCCACAAAGCAAGAGAGAAACGTCCATGGGCTGCAGTCTGAAGATGTGATGAACGGGTTCCTGAACTTTCGGAGGGAAATCTGAGAAGGCAAAGCCAGTTAAAGGGCCAGGATCCCGCCAGCCAGGCTTCCTGGGGCAGTGTCTCTCCACTCACAGAAGGCCCTATTCTGGACAGCGGGAGTACAGGACAGCCCTCTCAAATGCCCAGAAGGGTGTGTCTGTGAATAAATTCTGCTTGAAGCTCCACTGACCTGTGGGCCAGGCACACCCTGGACATAGGGCGTTGACCCAGTCGAGGCCATGGACACGGGCAAGGGCTGCCTAGATGCGGCCTGGGGAATGGAAGCATCCTGGTGCCCGACCTCCCCTGCACCCGTTTGTACAAACTTCAGTGACATCACCTTGCGAAGTGGGAGTCATGGCCACATGAAACTGGGAGGGCCTGGGTCCGGCCAGGGGCCCTTAGACCAGGCAGCAGCTGCTCTGTGGCCAGAGGCACCTTGACTGGGGCTGCCGTACCCATCCTCATCGTCCTCCACTTGTGAGGCTCACTGTGTGAGTGCTGAAGGTGAAGCAGCCAGAGAACTCCACTTGCCCGCAACAATCTTAGAGTCAGGGGCAGGAGGGGGAAAAATCATAGAATCAGATAATGTCATGTGACTGTCAGCTTTACAAATGCTTGGCGCCAAAGAGAGAGATCGTCTTTCACTCGTTCAACAAACATGTAACCCATGAGGTCTGAGCCGGGAGTGGGATTCCGTGGATTCCGTGGATTTCGTGGACAGTTTTGTTATTCTCCATGCTCGTGTTCCCTCTGGGACTAGGGTTTCTTTTTCATCTGCCCTCATCCCCCATTTCTTTCTTCTCTCACCTCTGCAGACATCTCTTGGAAATTTCAACAAGGATTACACGCCTTCTGCCATCTGCCCAGGCACTCCCAGAATATAGCAGAATGCTGTTGGAATGCATGGCTAGGTGTGCAAGTTGAGATTCGCACCATCCACCAAGTCTCCTGATGGACTGTGAAGTGTGTGGGCCAGCCTGGATTCCTGATTTACATCTTTCTACCCACAGAAGGACACCCTAAACCATCACTGCAAACTTGCAAACAGCACTGGGGAAAGCGTCTAACGCAGCCTTTCCACCAGAATGCAATTTACATGTTGTAAGGCATACATTTCATAATTTTGTTATATATGTGTGTGTATAGCTATATATTATTGTCATATATGGTATATGTATATATTAGTGTGTATATAGATATTTATATATCTACCAATTTACCAACGATAAAAATCCAGTTAGTTTCTCGTTATTACCTGTGAGAACTATAAGCCCAGGTTGGTTGTCGAGGTGCCTGAGAGGTAGGTGCACAGCTCTGTGTGGATTCCTTCGTATAGGCGAGTTTAAGGTACAGCTGACTGTACATAGCTCAGTTAATCATGATGAAAATGTTTGCAGATAATTAGCATGTATGGTGTTCTTTCCTTTTGCTTTGAATCCTTCTTGCTTTTAATACCATGCGCCACACTGTGGCAAGCAGTGTGACTTGGAGGGAAACGCGGGAATTCGGTGTCAGAAAGTCTTTGACTATGTCCTGGGGAAGGCATGTGTTCTGGCTCCAGGGGACATCAGGAAGACTTTCGCAATAATGTGTGGAAAGTACTCTGTGTGGTGCCTGGCATGCAGCAGACACTCCATGTGTGGTGGCTGAGATGGTCCTGACTTAAAGTTGTTCACTGTGTTATTCAGATAGTGTCCTGATTGGCCGGCACGCCCTCACCATCCATCAGACCTGTGTAGGGCACATCCCAAGAGCCTGGCACCTGCTGGGTGCTGTGGAAGCAAAGGTCGATCTAACGTATCCCTACAACCTCCCTCCTAGTGAGGTGTGGCCATGGAGACAGAACTATGCCAGTGGAACATGGTGTTGCAGAGATGGGAATGGGATGGCTGGCTCCCCATGCGTCCCTTCCTTCTAGAAGCAACTTCTAAAGCGCTGGACACCCCTCTCCCTGGTGTGAGCCCTCCATCCTCACCCATCATCTAAGCATCAGCAGCCCCAGCGTGGAGCCCTCCTATTGCCTGCAGACTGGGCTGTGAGGCCGGGATCTCCGTGGGTGAGACTCAAAAACACCCTCTCGCCCAGCACTCTCAGTGTTCGCAGGAGAAGGCGGTAACAGGGAGTGAGGAAGGAAGGGTTTCCACTGATTCACACAGCCAGAATTCAAGGGCAGCAGGGAGGACAGGGTCTGTGTGCTGTGGTACGGCTCTGGGCATGCGCTGTCCCGGGCAGATTTTCCCACTGCGGTTGAGGAGCCTGAGGAAGAGCCTGTAGCATCCTGGGGGAGCTGCCACCTGGCATGTGTTTGAAGCTTTAAAAGCTCTAGTTTCTGTTTTGTTTCTCCCTGAGGTTATCTGAATTGGCAGGACTGCAAACACACATGAAATTTGCGTCAACTGACGCTTTCCTCTGGTCTTCTAACCCTCCACACGGTCAGCACCACAGGGTGGGTCTGGCAGTAGGAGGAGAGAGCCAAGCCCTCCCCACAGTGGGAGCCTTAGGTCAGGAGACACATGTCCGACCATCCTAAGTCAAGCACACCTGGGAGAGGTGAGGGCGGAGTCTGGCTCCAGGGGCCAGGATGGCTGTGAATGCAGGGACCTGGAAAGGGCGGAGTGTCCGCTGGAGGCGCGTGGGCTGGTGTGCAAGAAACAGTGGCTCCTCTTGCCTTTCAGAGAAGGAGTGCCGTGCTGGCGTGGGGAGCTGCGTTCTGTGAGCCGCCAGCCGGCTTCCCCTCCCACAGCCACTCCAGGTGGAGCTTTACTTTGGCACCAAGTTGCTGGTTGTCTCCTGACTTGACCACGTCGAATCTGGCCCTGTAGATTGCAACGGGGCTGCTCTCAGGAATCCTGGAACTCTCACCACCAGCTTCCAGGGAGAGGACATTTTTCAACCCTCTGGAGAGTCTGAGTGCGGACAGCTCACTGGCAGAAGATCGGGATTGTGGTGACCTGCAAGGCCAACTGCTGCGTGCACTGTTCCAGCGTGTCGTGATGTGGAGGACTGGTCCGGAGAGGCCCCTGCTCAGGATCGGGTGAGGACGAGGACCGGCCGGGGAGGGGGAGGCAGGGAATTTGATGTTTTAGGAAGGAATCGGATGTGGCCTTTCTCAGTCTTTGCTTTTCTCCTTAAAAATCCACCCACAGAAGCATCGTCGTGCTTGCAGCCAAGAGCAAAGCAAAGAGCGTTTGCAGCCGACCAGCCCTCGTCCTGCAGCAGAGCCCGATGGACGGCGGCCCACTCAGCCTGCAATGCCGTAATACTTTATTTCAACATGATATGACATCATTAAAGACACTTTATGTTGTTTTTGTCTGTGGTTTGGAATTATGTCTGCTTAATCAATTCCATTATGCATTCAACTTTCACGACACATCAAAGGCCGATAAGGTTTTTATTTATTTTTTTTAAACTTTGCTTGCTTAAAATGATTTCCCTCCAGATCAAGATGCAGAGCACAAAATATTAATCAGTTTAAATAAATATCAAGACTACCCAAATAATATGAATAATTGGCACGGGATTGCGCCTACTGCCCACTTCCCAGCAGCTGGTCACGCTGGCACGAGGCTCCTCTCAACAGTCTCTGAGATAATGACTTTGGCATCTGCTGACGAGTGCTTGCGACTGCCCACAGAATTTACAACTCACAAGTGGGAAACAGAGGCTCCGACAGAACTTTTTTATGCAAGGTCTTTGAAATTTATTAATGTAATGCAAACACGAGCCTTCCAACCCATTAAATTGTTGATGTTATGCGAGCCCACTCTGGAATTGCAGATCCTCATTAGCATTATTTGCATGTTAATCTGCATCTTTTTAATTAGTGATATTATTTATGCACATAATTTCGCCTACTGGTGCCAAGGCTGAAGCGCATTAATTAATCTACTGAGATGCCAAACTGTTTATTTTCCCCCGTACTTTTATTTGTTTACATGGTGTTTTGGATTCAGGGAAAATAAAAAAGGGCCTGAAGAATAAAAGCAGAAAGACAAGATTAACTAAAAGCTCTTTTTGTTTTCATAATTTAAATTGTAATATTAGCCAAATGTTGTGTTTCTTCCCTTAGAGATCGGTTATTCAGTTACATTACCTTGATGTATTATTAAAATTTATAATGGACTCTGGAGGCTTCCGTTAGTTCTCTCCTTCATTTACAGAATCTACTCAATGTTATTTTAATCTTCCTACAACGCTCCCATGCATAGGCAATGATGAGCCATCCCTGGTGAATCGCCCGCACGGCTCCACTTTGCACAACTGATAAACATTTAAATAAGCCTTTCCAAAAAAGAATAGCACGCAAAATTATTAACCCATTGATGGAGTTAGCTAACCGCTCGGCAATTCATCTTTCCTCAAAATAGGTCAATTGCAAAATGCACTTGACTTGGCGATGTTGAGTAGTTCTCATTCCGGCAGCCGTGGTTTCCAGGCGTCTCCAGAACCATGTGTCCGTCTGAGCAAAGGCAGGCAGCACCACTTTTTAAAACATATAATTAAAAATCCCCTGCACTGTCTACGCTAAGTACACAGAATTTGGGAGCCAGGAAAAGCCCTAGAGATTGTACATATTGGGCCTTGTCATAAATGGTAACATAATTCAGAAGCAGTGCCCATTCCACAGTAATGGAAGTTAAAAATTCCATTCAACTAGCCACGGTCACGCGGTATCTATTATTTACACCACGGCGGAAAGGGTATTTGCAGAGCAGCCCCTAAAGATACGCAAGTGTTCATGTTATTAGCAGACGGGAGTGGCAATTTGTTTACAGCATCAGTTTCTAAGGGATACAAGGCAACACCTCTGCCTCTGCACGTCATATCTACCTTCCAGAGAGCTACCCTCTGAATTTCCTCCGGTTGAACAGGACCTCAGGTACCGCAAGCGACTAAGCCATCAGTCCTGCCTGAAGTAAATCATCACTACGGCCCCCATTTTAATAAGATGGTTGCAATCTACTGGGCGTGACGGCATGGGGGAGTTGAGGCAGACCCAGTTCCCTTCTGTTCCATGTTATTGGAATAGCACAGAGTCCTAGGCAGTGCTTCATCTGTCAAATAGCTTAGCATCATGGGCTGGTTCCTGGTTCACCGAAGGGTCGAGAAGAGAGAATTGGTTGTGTCGTGTGTGGGAATTCAAGGGCAAGGCAGTGAGTCTGAAGGTCTCTGGATACAAACTAGGAGCAGGAGTGCCTTGGTCCATGTTTTCCAAGAGGACTGGGGCCACTGGGCCCCGAAAGGCACATGCCCTCGTTTGTTGTGAGGTAGCAAATCTGACACTGTTTTTCATTCGCTGATTTTTATTTTAGGGGTAATAAGTGCTGTTGGTAAAAGCACAAAGACAAAGAGTGTACCGTGACAGGAAGGAACTTCTCCCTGGCCCCTCACTAAAGGTCTTGCTTATCTTTGCAGAAAATTCTATGAATATGGAAGCCTCTCTCCAGTCACGAAAAACAGGAATACATTATACCCGCCCTTCTGAGGGTGTTCCTTTCAAGAAACAGCATGGGGCTGGGCACGGCGGCTCACGCCTGTAATCTGAGCACGTTGGGAGGCAGAGGCAGGCAGATCACGGATTGAGACCATCCTGGCCAATATGGTAAAACCCCGTCTACAAAAATTAGCCAGGCGTGGTGGTGCGTGCTTGTAGACCCAGCTACTCAGGAGGCTGATGCGGAAGAATCACTTGAATCAGGAGGCGGAGGTTGCGGTGAGCCGACATTGTGCCACTGTACTCCAGCCTGGTGTCAGAGCAAGACTATGTCTCAAAAAAAAAAAAGAAAAGAAAAGAAAAGAAAAAGGAAAAGAAGAAAAAGGAAAAGAAACAACACGAGATGAGGATGAGCACCTCTCAAGCCATGTTGTGCTTCATGAGATTCTGGACTCTGGGGGAGTTTGGTCATGGACATTCCCAGAAAGCAGCCCCATCACAGCCCACTGCTGTAGGTGCCAAGGAAACTCTGGGGAATGCGGTCCTGCCAGGGAAGGACTCTCGGGCTGCTGAACTACCCTCATTTGCAGTCTTCATTTTTCATGCCTCCCACATAGTTGCCTGAGAAAATCACCCAGAATAGTCTGGGTGGATCAACCAGTGGAAGACACAAATTCTTGTAACTCTACAAATTGTCTTTAGAAAGTTATTCCTAATATCAACTTTGATGTAAGTGAGAACATAGAAAGAATAAGCACGTTACAAGCAAATCATATACGAAAATGTTGTGTCAAATACAAAACTGAGAAAAAGGAGGGAGGACTTGTAAGCACGTAGGCAGCTAGGCTGGCTTTGCAGCGGCTTTTGACATTGGCGTTCTGGCGGACTGCAGAGTGAGCTCACCACACCTGGGTCCTGAACTCTGGGTTTCGCTTGATTTGGAGTGGCTGGGTCAGGTTGATGGTAGAGTTGAGGCCTTTCTTTAAGGTTGGACAGTTTGGAATCAATGCAGATACAAAACTGTACCTTAGGCCTGAGGAAGATTAGGTCTGACTTTCTGCTGACAGACCTAGAGTCTTCTGGAGTTTCTTGTGGGGAAAGCATCCTGAAGACTCTGAAATGAGAGGCCAGGAAAGGTAATATTGCCTTCATCCATACCGTGGCCTGCTAAGGTTCGCTTTTGTCATTCCGCCAACGGGTGTTTTGCTTTCAACTCCCAACTGGCGGTCTCACTATTTTCTCTGCACGCTGTTTCGGCTCCTTCTTGACTAGGAGGATGACATTAGCAGACTACGTTATCACATGAATGTCTTGTGAGAGGATGTTGTTTGTACAATGTTTAATCAATTGTATGAGCTATGTTAGTGGCATATTATTTTACACCTTCTTCTTTTACTGACACATTTTTGGGGTACTCCAGCAAATCACTTCACCTTGATTTCCTTATCTTAACCACCAAGGGATTGAACCTGCTCGTCTCTAAAGGCCCATACAAAGTCTTCTGTCCCTGCTCTTCACGCATGCGCTGTGTGCACAGCCCTGACCTGGCCTCCCAGCTTGTGGTTCTCTGACCTACTTCCACCCAAAGCCACACCCCACCGTGCTACTCAGTACATTCCTGCGTGGCCTGGCATCACTGGACAGAGGGAAGGACCCCCTGCCCCTGAGTCTTGCAAACTCACAGCTTCACCACTCACAGGGTAAGACATGCCCACCCCTGCCCCAGCCCAGACAAGGACAACTTCCTAGGAGGCCGCGTGGTTTGCGGCCGCCCTGCCTTTGTCAGAGCAATGCCTCTACATAGAATTCTTTCCCTCCAGTCCTCTGAGGGCATTTTCTCCAGCTCACAAGTCCATCAAGATTGTCCACAGAACTTTTGAAAATCATGGATGCCTCTGATTCACCTGCAGCAATGGCTGATTCCATTGGTTCGAATTGGCTCTGGGCAATGATGTTTTCTAAACCTCTCAGGCAGGAGGAGAACCACCAGCTTAGGGAAGCACAGTCAGCTTTAGAAACAGCACAAGCTGCCTGTAATCTCAGCACTTTGGGAGGCCAAGGTGGGCAGATCACTTGAAGTCAGGAGTTCGAGACCAGCCTGGCCAACATGGTGAAACCTTGACTCTACTAAAAATGCAAAAAATTAGCTGGACGTGGTGGTGTGTGTCTGTAGTCCCAGCTACTCGGGAAGCTGAGGCAGGAGAATCACTTGAACCCGGGAGGCGGAGGTTACAGTGAGCTGAGATGGCTCCATTACACTCTAGCCTGGGCGACAGAATGACACTCCATCTCAACAATAAATAAATAAATATATAAAAATAAATAAATAAATACAAACAAAATAAACAGCACAAGCATCCTGAGCCTCACCCCACCACTCCGCGTTCCCTGCACCATGGGCAGCCCTGCTTCTGGAAGCCACCCTGTGGGGATGACCCCTGCCCCGCTGTCTCCCTGGCTTCTCAGGAAGGCCATTAGTCCCAACACACAGCAGTGTGACTGGTCCCCAGTAGGCCAACAATGGCTGCTCAGAAAACACTCTGGGCTCATTCGATCTTTACCAGCAGGGAGGCACCTGTTGCCCTGAATGGGCAGGTGAATCTAACACTTGTTCTTCTGTTTCCTATAACGTTTACTTCAATGCAAGGATCATGGTACATTTCACAAGCATGTGGAAGTGCACGTGGCAGTGTGAGTCGTGCAGGGACAGTGTCCTACTGACATGCGATTGCACTCCCTGCCCTCACACCCCAGCCTGCACGGCCCCGGCTGGGTCAAGGTTTCCCGCCTTCCTGCTCACATGGACCCATCTGTGTTGACCCAACCGACCAAACCAGCTTCAGCCCCAAACAGAATCCAGGATTTTCTTCAAATGTTATGTTCCAGCATTAAAAATATGTAAATATAAAATGTTACATCACCTAGGATGTTTATGTGTGTTTTACAAACTTTTTTGGAAAAAAAATGGAATTTGAGTCCCAGTGAAGAGGAAACTTGGCCATCCCATCCAGTGTCCCAGGTGGTGAGGTCGGCCTCCATGCTTCTCAGACTCACGTTGGCTTCATTGCTTTGTTAACACCCGCCGGGTGTGCTTCTGGGCACGCGTTCTGCAGATGTTCCAGAGGCCCGCTCAGTCAGAAACGCCTGCCCCTCAGATTCCTGTCTCACCTCCACCAGGGACCCCAGAGCCCGGGCCTGTTAAGGAAGTGCTCCATGCTCACTTATCCACGGAAGTCCAGGTTCCAATGGACAGCAGGTTTTGGAGGCCCAGGGGCTGTGGGAAGATGGCCCATGACCCTCTCAGCAGTAAGTCAGGCCTGTGACAGCCCACGAGGCTCACACCAGCTCCCTGTTGTCTGTGGCTGAGCACTGTGGACACGTCATGGGGTGCAGCCCCGCGCCATGTCTGTGCTGACCCGCTGGTGGTCAGGACATCTTCGCTGCCACTCAGAAACAAATCACAGGCCCACTCCAGTCCATACGTGACGTCTGAAGTGAGCTCCAAAATGGACTGGGTTGAGTCCTACAAAGAATCCTAGGCTAGGCACATATAGAAAGACAAACTGGATGTCT